GTAGCACTCTCACACCTCAGTCTACTGTATAAATAGGATTCTGAAAGTTTGACTGTCTGATAAACTTGACAGAAACTAAACAGACTTGCTTAAGGTATGTCTATTTTGGACTTGTGTTAGAATTTTCCTCTGGACTCCTCTAGAAATGCATGATAGTGGGGTGATGGGGAGAGAGGGAATTCTATCTGTGCTGTGTTCAAGTTCTTCAGACTTTGTTCGAGTAACTGTGTTCCAAATATTAATTCTGATGATTTTTGATCGAGGCCAAACAATTCATTGAAAAGGCAGAGGAGAACCTGTCAAGACAGGTTCTGTCTGTCACAAAACTATGACTGGTTAGTGTTTAATAGAGAATGTGGTTAAGTAGTGTTTGTTCCAGATTAGCTACTGTAGGGTGGATGTTTTGTTTTCTTCTGCAGCCTAGTAACCCACAAAAGTCCCTCTGAATGATTCATAAGAAAGTAGATTGGCTGAACACATTATTGTGTGTTGGACCTCAGCAAGAGTATTAGAGAAGCACAAATGACGAAGGCGAGAAGGAACAGTGGGCTGAGTGGTGTAAGCGTTTCGGAATTGAAATAATAACTGAGTGAAAAATAGTGCCTTATCCCAAAGCATTTGTAAGTGAAATCAGCAAGTTTACAAGAGATTGAAAGAGTCTGAGACAGGTTGAGAGAGAGAGAGAGGTTGAGATAGATAGTTTCAGATAATAATAATCCTTGCATTTGATATAGCACTTTTCACGTCTTCTAGATGTCTCAAAACGCTTCACAGAATAGACTGTAAAGTGAATTGACTGTATATTTGTGGGTGAAACTTGGCAGCCAATTGTGCACAGCAGAGTATCACAAATAGTCATGGATTGAAGTGACCAATTTATTATTTTTTTTCCTCGAGGGATTATTATCAGGTGTGTGGAGAAAGGAAACTTGCCCAAGATTTCACCCTACCAGGAATCAAACCCAGGTCTCTCGGTTGTGAAGCGAGTGCTCTAACCAATGAGTTGCAGGATTCCCCAAAGAAATAAAGTTCGAGATGGATGCCTTTTTTCCTCATTTATAATATTTTTCCTTTTCCGTTTATCTAATTTCAGTTTATCTGATTTAAATGCAATTAAGGATTTTATTTTAAACATTGTTTTTGGTAGAATTGTTCATAATCCTTTTTTTTTAAAAAAAATTCTACTCACCTCTCCATTTTATTTTGTAGCAACTCCCAGTTTATTTCACAAATTACTAGTGTAGTGATTTCTGGTTTATGAATACCACCTAAACTCCCTAAGCCCTGACCCTCTATGTCTAATACCCACTGATGGATTCTTTCCCATTATGAGAGACCCAAAGCTCACTGGCATTAGAAAGCAGCAAGCATTCAGTGTGAGGAAGTTATAATATATAGAGGAAGTTGAAACCATTTGACTTTGAGGTTCTTACATTGTCACTTTAGTTGTGCATGTTGATGAATTCATGGATGTAATATTTTCACTGACATTCACCATTTTTAAACATTTCTATTTCTTTATAATAGCTTTTCTATTTTAGTCTATATAATAGCCAGTCAGGAACCTCGGTGTCTTGTTTGATCCTGAACTGTCCATTCTCCCCCACATCCGTGCCATGACCAGCACTGCCTACCACCACCTCCGCAACATTGCCAGACTCCGCCACTGCCTCACCCCTCAGGCTGCCGAAACCCTCACCCACGCGTTCGTCACATCAATGCTCAATTATGGAAATTCCCTCCTCATGGGCCTTCCCAACTCTTCCCTTCACAAGCTGCAGATCATCCAAAACTCTGTAGCTCGTGTACTCTCACGCACCAGACACCATGACCCCATCACTCCCACCCTCGCCCGACTCCACTGGCTCCCCATCCCCCAGAGGATCAAATTCAAGATCCTCGTCCTCACTTTCAAGGCCATCCATGGCCTGGCCCCCTCCTACCTCTCTGACTTGCTGACTCCCTACCAACCCACCCACTCCCTCCATTCAGTGGGCTCCGGCCTACTCCATGTCTCCTACCCTACCATGGCTGGGCTTTCAGCCTCTCTGCCCCCACACTCTGGAACTCCATCCCACAGTCCCTTCGCCTCGCGTCCTCCCTTACCTCCTTGAAGGCCGGTCTCAAGACCCTCTTCTTCGATTGTGCCTTCAGCCGCCCTCCCACCTCTCTGCCTTCCCTCACCCCTACACCACCCCTCTCCCATGCTCTGGTCCTGACTCCTGACTGTCCAGCGCCTTGGGACATCCTCCTGACGTGAAAGGCTCTCTATAAATGTAATTTTGTTGTTGTTAGAGTACTGATAGTGAGATCCCATCTTAACCATTTCCGTTTCTGATGTTTTTACAATGGCGTTTTATTCTGGACAGAATGTCACAGTCAGTTACATTTGGGAAAAAGTTCCAGTTAGCATCAGAATTTGGAAAATTGTTGGATTGAGTTCATTTTTAACTCTTCCCTCAAAAGCTGCAGACTCCAGGACTGAGCAACTCATGTCCTCTCCTGCACTTGGCTCTGAGAGCCTATCATCCCTATCCTCGCCCAGCTCCACTGGTTTCCCCCATCCCCCAATGGATTGAGTTCAGTTGAGCTCTCAGCCATTCTGGAGTCCCTCCACCTTGCCCCTTCTCTCACCTCATTCAAGTCCACCTCAAGACCTTCCTCTTTAAACACCTTTGGTTATCATCCCCTCCCCCACCTCCTTGGCCCTCACCTCTTCTGATGCGGCTGATGCGTTCGCAGACAAGTATACAGTCACTTCACAATAAATCTTGTGAAGCAAGTGGGGACGTCCGCTCGACGTGAAAGGCACTATGCTAAATGCAAATGTTACTATTATTAATGCATGTTAAGGCACAGTATCTGGTCCAAACCTTCAACTGTCCAGTGCCTTTGGAAATCCACTATATAAATGCAATTTGTTGTTGTCCATGTTGAAATAAATGTAGCTCTTCGGCAATTTGTGATACATTGTACAGATCACTTCTTTTCTTTACCACAGGTTCGATGAATATCGATCGAATACCACAAGGAAGCCCAGGGTGCCCTGGGGAACTGAGAAGGAATATGGTGGCATTAAAAACGTTTCACTACCAGAAGAATTAAGACCAAGGACTGAGCCTCCCATTAGGATGGCAAAAGGACACCAGCACTACAGCTTTGCTGGAGACAAGCTTCCTGGGTTTGTTGATGATTTGATTCCACTGTTACAGCTGGCTAGATATTTTTTCTTGATTTATTGATTTGCAGTAGTCAAGCAGATGTCAAGATATTTTCAAAGTCAGTAGGTGAACAATGACTTGACTGCACAGATTTATACCATCAAATGGTCAATGTGTGCCTCAAACATGGACAAGTTGAACTAATCTTGTCTGAGTTTTATGTACTGTATTTAGTACTTCTGGTCTGCCATGGCCAGTAAAAGCTGAGACTATGTCATGCAGTGTGTTGCATGGAGCAAATAATGTAATACAAACACACTTATTGGGTATGTTTTACATGGGTGAGTGTTGTGAATGTTTACAGAGTTTTCATGAAAGGTCAAATTATTTCAGTCTTGTATGAGCAAAATATACATGATTTACAATTTTAGCTGAATCTCAAGATTCATCCTTTCAAGGTAACACTTTGTACCATTTAATGCAAAACAATGTGATCCATGTACATTACAAGTGAGGTGTACATTCCACCTCACTGAGCCGGTCCGGAACCTTTGCATCGTGTTTAATCCTCAACTGGCCTTTGTACCCCCACATCCATGCCATGACCCGCTCTGCCTTTCCCCAACTCCACAAAATTGCCCGAATCTGCCACTGCCTCAGCCCTCAGGCTGCCGAAACCCTCCTACATGCCTTCATTACAACCAGGCTTGACTATGCCAACGTCAATGCCCTGCTTGTCAGCCTTCTCAACTCTTCCCTCTATAAGTTGCACATCATCCAGAACTTTGCAGCTTGTGTCCTCTCCCGCACCAGACTCTGTGAACCTATCACCCTCGCCCGACTCCACTGGCTCCCCATCCCCCAGAGGATCGAGTTCAAAATTCTCGTCCTCGCCTTCAAAGCCCTAGACAGCCTTGCCCCTCCTACCTCTGTGACTTGCTGACCCCGCAAGTAAACTGCCTCTGCTCGACTGGCTCCGGTCTTCTGCTTGTCCCTCGTGCCCTCCGTTCCACCATTGATGACCGCGCTTTCAACTACTATGCCCGGAAACTCTGGAACAGTTTTCCTCTATTCCTCCTCCTTGCCCCTTCCTTCCCCATCTTCAGGCCGTGCCTGAAGACCTTCCCCTTCAACCGTGCCTACAGTCGCCTCTAACTATCCCCGGCTCGACGTCGTGCTCCGCCATTCTTGAGTGCTCGGGGTTGCTACTCTGCATAAGAGGAGCTATATAAATGCTTAAATTGTTGTTTGTTGCCCCTGTCCCAAATCAGCAGAGCAGTAAAATCTAGAGGACCATACCGTTTCCCCAGGGTTTCTTCTATTTCTTTGACCACACCTATAGTCATTACACTCTCCCCCTTCTTCCTTGTTCGAGGTCAAACCCTACCACTGTACAGAGCTTCAAGATGGTATACTATGTGAAAGGCACTCTATAAATGTAAATTATTTTGTTATTGTCAGGAGGATCCAATGTCATTGGCACGTCCTGCGCATGGTACAGATACACAGCACAGAGGAAGGAACATTGGTGATAACCTCACAACCCAGAAGTCAACCAATATTTAGAAAGGGAAACTGTCAGTGCAATAAGCTATGTGTGCCTGTGTTTAAAATGGAGTTCCCTTATATACTCTAGGATTTATTGAAAAATTACAGGTTGAATAACAAAAATAACTGCAGATTTATTTTTAGATATCTTAATTATAAAAGGCTAGAAACATCCTGAGTTTAAGTCAGAGAAAGAAAAATCTGTTGTTTTTATTAATTAAACATTATCAAGCCTGTTATCAAGTACAATTTCTTAAAATCCACATAATCATTTATTTTTACTCTTCCAGATTGACAAAAATAGGACTTACCTACGGGAAATAAAAAGGGGAAATATTTACATCATTTCATTTCTCCAATATTTTCCTGTAATACAAGGTGCTAAAGCAATTGCTCTCAAGTTACAAAAATAATTATTGCACCACTAAAATAACTGATGAGCAGAAGCCCAGTGTATTTTGCTGCAGTGTTTAATTGTTTTTATTACCTTATGTTTTCTTGCAGTGATATTATCATATATCAACCTTATGAACGCACCCAAATTAAGAAGAGTGATATCCGTTCTGAAGATCAATTGTAAGTTTTACGACTTCACATTGTGAAATACTTTTGAGAAACAAAATGTAAAATAGTTTTTCTAAGTTGGGTATTTTGTGTTTCAGACAAATAAAGCAACCTTCCATTTTAAGTCTGGTTCTTCCAGGCCACATATAGTATCATGTCAGCCTCTGAATCAAACTCTAAGGGTTCAAGCCCTATATCAGGTCTTCAAACTCACCATCTAGGCTGACACTTCAATGCAGTGCTGGGGGTGCTGCACTGTTGGAGGTTCTATGTTTTGGATAAGATGTTAAGCATCAGTGTCTGTTCAGGTGGACCTTAAAGATCCCATGGCACTATTCGGAATAAAGAAGGGAGTTTCTCCTGGTGCCCCGGCCAACCATCCCCCAAATACAATTGGTCATTCACTTCTGGCTGTTGATGAGACATTGCTGTGCGCAAATTGGCTGCAATGTGTACAAATACACATTCACTTTATGATAAATCCTGTGCGGCTTTGAGATGTGTTAACAATGTGAATGAGGAGTTACATCAAATGCAGGGATTAAAAGCAGGAATGTGATTCATGATAAAGCCACCTGGATTCCACTCCAACACTGTGTTTTAATCACCACCTCAGAATAGCACCACTTCCTGCGTCTCATGACGTTTCCATTCCTCATACTAAATGAAATTTTAACTTATCCTGAATTGAACCGACCAAGTGTTGTAAAGATATTGAACACAACATTGTTGCTTCTTTTTAATTATTACGTGAATAGTGTTCAGTGTTTTTTTTTTGGTCAGCCAGGTGTCAGACGCACACGGAAACTCATCACCATGCTTAATATTATCCAAAACCAAATTGAGTGGCATGGAAATTCCTGTGTATCAGAATAGAACACCTCCAAGTCTGGTTTGGGGTACTGCTGGAGTTTAATCAACTAAAATCACATAGCTTGCCATTGAAATCGCTCTCTGGCAAGCTTTCCCACTGCTTGAACATCTAGGACCATTGTACTCATTAGGGCTTTGGCTTAGAGAGTTAACAGGAGCTGAGTGGAAAGTCTGACCCTTCAAGTCTTCTGCTGAGCCAGGCTGGCCGGTATTTCATCAGAGTTGCCTTAGAGTACTACGGACCCGCCTGGCTCAAAAACTGGGCTACTGAAACTGCCACAGGGAGCGTACAGTTTTACACATAATATACATTAAAAGTGCCTTCAAGATGTTGATTAACAACCATTGACTTATTCTTTATTATTATGATTACTATATCTGCTGAAAACATTTAATTCTTACTTACATTTTTGGGGTTTTAGGCTTCCAAAACCTCCTAATATCACAATGAAGTAAGTAAACCTGCTTTGCTCAACATTTCTCTGTTTCTATGTATTCAATCATTGCATATAGCACATTGCTGGTAATTTTAAATCAAGCTACCCATTGCACTTCACTGCAAATAGCATGAAAATGCTAAAGATATGGATTTGCTTTGGAAGACATGATTTTTTGTTATCAGATTATGAATTCCTAAAAATATCAGAAGAAAAGAATAAAGCCACCAAAGTTTATCCCTTTGGTCCATTAAATTTCCTGTTATGGTACCTAGAATTATTTATTTTAATACATTTTACTGTATCTAATTATTTTGATACTTTTGGTGTTGGCATGTGTCTCTGCTCCTAGCCACCATGCACTCATTTATTCTCTGGTATCTTGCCCAAGTTGACATTATTTATGTATGAGTGGAGGATGCTGTACAATGACCAGAAGAAACCATGGCTACCTTTGCTCTCCCTAACCTTGGTAATGCCAGGACCAATTTTGCCTCTCTGCTGAGACCATTGAACTCAGCACAGACCACGATTCAAACCAGCAACCCTTGCCCCCTCCTTCCCCTCTTGAAACCTATTTTATCAATCATGCTTTCAGTCACCTAACCCTCCCCCCGACCTCACCATCAGCACCATCTCCACCCCCTTAGCTCCCCAAGCTCAGGCTCATAGTTAGCTGTTGGTGAGATGTCCTCCCAAAAGGAAGAGCACTATATAAATGTGAATTGTTGTTGTAGATTATTTCAAATAATTACAATTATTTAAATAAAGACATTTTTGCTAATAGCCATCCTAAATGTTACTTTTTCTTAATTAATCTCCTCTGGTCCTAATGATGTAATTTACTTAAAGTTGATCTGCTCAATAACTTTCCTAATCTTGTTTGGATTTGTTAATGTTAAACTTCTTTACAGTATGTCTTCTAGTTCTGTATTCATTGCATTCTTAAAATCAAGTCACCTGCATCATCTATGCCTCTTATTGTTCCTTTGTTTTTAGCCAGAACCAGATACACTTGACATTTCCAGCCGAACATCCCTATACTTCCCACATAAACAAATATGCAATGTTTCCTAAATTCACTTCACCAGATGATCCATACACTGGTGTGCGAGGTGGAAATCAACAGCCCATTACTCCGAATATGCCGGCAAGACCTTACACTATGACTGTGAATAAAAAAATTAGAGGTAAATGTATGCATTCATGAAAGTAGTTTAAAGAAAATGTAATTACTGCTTTTCAACCTGCTTTTATCTTTCTTTTTAACTCTCAGAAATTCTTCTTAGTAAATTACAGCTGTAATTTCTTCCCAAGGGTTTGAAACAGTCAACTCAAGCATGCGTCTAAAATTGTACCACTGACTAACCAGTCATTCCCAATAACACATGTTAGGATTAACACTCAGTTCAAGGTACTATGCTGACAGTGTTCCAGCAAAATCAGGCAACCCCATTGACCCTTATAAAACAAGATTAAATCTCCTGCAAAGGAGATTCACAAGGATGATCCAGAACTGAGAGGTTAAACCTATCAGGGAAGGCTGAACATGCTTGGACTCATCTCTTGAAAAGAGGAGGGTAAGAGGTGACTTGATAGAGGTTGTTAAAATGATGAAAGGTTTTGATAGGGTAGACATAGGGAAGATGTTTCAACTTTGGGAGAAACCAAAACCAGGGGCCATCAAAATAAAATTGTCACAAATAGATCAAATAGAGAAATTAGAAGAAATTTCTTCACACAAAGAGTAGTGGGAATGTGGAACATGCTATCACAAGGAGTTGTTGAGGCAAATAGTATAGATGTATTTAAGGGAAAGCTAGATAGGGACATAAGTGAGAAAGAAATAGAAGGTTATGCTTGAAGGCTTAGTTGAGGAAGAGCGGGAAGAGGTTCATGTGGAGCATAAACACTGGCATAGACCAGTTGGGCCGAATGGCCTGTTTCTGTGCTGTATATTCTAATGTATTCTAATGTAAGATCCACCCTGTTTTTGTAATGCTTAATCATTGGATAGTCTGTTGATTGGTACCAAATGACATGGTCCTTGGGGATTTGACATGAAAATCTATACAAATTGGCACAAGATGTGTATAAATACAATCATGTATCACTCTTTCTCTGACACTTGCCCTGGCCAAGGCTCTGTCCTAAGTAATTGGTAACTTAACTACCCATTATATTTGGTCAATCTGACACATCTTTTACCTTGATTAAGAATTGCTGTTTCAACCACTGAAAAATCCAGAACCAAGTTTCCATTTGTCAGTCTACTCTCCCTTAGATACAAACTCTTCTTCCTTACTTGTGCTTGGAAGTATAGGCATAGGTTGGCAAAAACCAAGGCATTGGGGACTCACAGTGCACATTAATTATTATATTCAGTTGCTGAATAAAATATTCCCTCAAGACCTATTGGACTATTAAAGATTTTCTTTCAAGAGTGCTACTATGCCTTGTGCATTTCTATTCAAGATGCAGATTAATGTTAACAGTTCATCAGCTACCACATTAGAAATGAAAAGACCTTGCAGCTCGATCCGCAGTCATTGATTAGAATAAGTAGCCAAGGGTACAATTTTTACTTTTTAATTGTTGTATTTAAATTTTTAAACTAATTGTAGTCAGACAAGTAAACACTGGATAGAAAGTGATTGTGTGAAATGCAGTATGAATTTACATTATGCCAGATTGAAGGAAATGTACATATTAATAATAATAATATTCCTTGCATTTGGTATAGCACTTATCACATCTTCTAGGCGTCTCAAAGCACTTCATAGAATATACTGTAAAGTATGTTTTGTGGGCGAAACATGGCAGCCAATTACTCACAGTAGTGTCTCACAAACAGTTGTGGATTAAGTGACTATTATTATCCTTTTTTGGAATGGAAGTTACACTGAATTATAATCTGGTCCAAGAATGGAAATCTTTGAAATTCATCAGCACAAAAATCTAGGTGACCTAAGAGAGCGCGGCATGAAATGAGTCTGGACAGATTCACTCGGGCTCCTCGTGAGTGAGCCACGCAGGACACAACTGGCAATGTGATTAAGATAAGCCAAGTGCCTTGCTGGTGTGGGAAATTCATACTAACGCGGTGTGTGTTTGTGTGCTGTGGGTCGTTTTGTTTTGAACTCAATGTAAATTGGAGTGAGTGAGATGGCAAAAGTACAAGTGCTATGTCTTTGAGTACTTGGTGGTAGATCCTCAAAAGAAGGGAGAATATTCTGTCCTACTCATGGAACTATTCAACCAAAATTATGTAAAAAATAGTCATCAATAATTATATAAAACTAGTCATCAATAAGTAATCCTTGGAAGTAAAAATTTGTTTTTTTCTCCCAACTTGAGAAGAAAGAACTAAAAAGCTAAACAGCAGCAAATGACTATGCCAGATAATATGCTGGCAAACCTTCTACTCAAAATACACCGTTTTACTTTACCATATAAGATACAACAGGAAGACAGTGCACATTCCATTCCATATGCACTGAAACTTCCACATGTAAGTGGCATACATATTTGCATACATGAGGGAGAAGGAGACAGAGGGATACAGATGAGAATAGGAGTGGGGTGTAACATGCAAATATAACACCCACACAGACTAGTTGGACCAAATGACTTATTTCCATTCCAACAAATTAAAACTATGCAACCACCCAGTTGAAAGATTTCTGTAGCTGGTACAGAATAGGTTAGTCTATTTGTTAGAGAATGGCTTACAAACCTTTCGGGAGAAGAATCACCCTCCCTCCCCAAGCTGCTACCCCTCCCTCCATTGAGGCGTAATCTACATCGTGAAATATTGCAGAGCCATTAAAATCTGTGAATCCTCTTAGAATTGATCAATGCTCCACTCCCTTCAGCAGGTGAGTTGCTTCAGAGATACCTTGATTCCAGAGAGCCTCTGATCATTCCTTCCCTCCCCACCCCCCATCACCCTGAGGATATTCACAGATTGGTCAACAGACAAGTGATACTCAAGCTTGTTCACTGTAACCCCTGCCGAATGGTATGGAGTGCAAAACAACTCAAAATGTGAGAGTATTGCACTGTCCTACAGAAGCAATACTATTTGTTGATTCTTTCAGGTGATTAGCAGACTGCTCTTTCACCTTTGGTATGAGCATCTTTCTGTCTGATTGCAAGTGCCCTAAGTAAAATGATTTTGCATAGACCTTTTACAGTTTCCACACAATTTAATACCTGGAATTTGTGTTTAATTGGAAATGTGACTACAATGGGTCCATTGACTACAAAGATGATTGCTGTGAGAAATAGAAATATCACATTGGTGCAGAGGAGGAGTTTTCAACAGTGCAGAATTGAGTGTGCTTTGAGCTCTCTGTTCTGTACTTACTGAGTATGTTTAATAGTGACACAAGGGCCGGAAATTACAAAATAATCTACTTCCCATACTTGTATCCCTTGTTTTTTCGAACACAAACATTTAATAAAAGATTCCTCTCCCCCCACTACCTCCCCACGCACTTAAAATAGAATACTAATGGCATCCCCAGGGAACTGATAACATTGTACTAATAATCAGGACATCCAATAATTCTCGTAGTATAATACATGAAAGCTGAATACCATCATTAACATCGGGCGCTCCCACACTCTGTATATTAATTCTTTCATACAGCTGGGCTTAGTACAAATCATTCCTCCAATGATTCTATCAGCAGCAAACAAATGAAAACCCAAATGGAAAGAAATTAAAGAATGTCAAAGTAGATGTGGATCATTGACTATTTCATTCTTTAAATGAAGGCCTGATGGTGGGAATGCCTTTTTGATTATAATGTTCAGTTGTATGGATGACACCAACATTGATTTCAAAATGCTTTCACTCCTAAACCTCACAGGATCTGCATACAGGCACGAAATCCAGGAAATCCCCTTTGCATCTCAACAGAAGGGTTTACACTGGCCCGGGGAATATGGATTTTATCATGTAAGTGCTCGTACTGTAAGAATACAAAATGCGTTTGCTAGAGGAAAATAATCATAAACAACAGCTTTATAAATGATCTCTTCAAACTGTATTGTTGATCTTTAATCCTTATAAAGGATCATTTTCTCAGGTTAACCATTAATATTAGTTAAAGGCATATTCCCCAGGCTTTGGTTAATAATGGATATCAGGTCAACTGTCATTTTTCAACCTCAAGTTTACTGATCCAACCCAACACCTCTTGCTGTCCCAAGGAAAGATCTTAAATGTCGTATTGCATTTCGTCCTCTTAGTTTTCACTGTTTGCAATGTGTATGGTGGCTCAATATAATGTTATTTTTTCTGGATATCCGAGAAAAACTCCTGCAGTGTAATAATTGCTTGTTCGCTCATACAAAGAATTGAAGGTTACTAATCTTAGCAATTGCTTGAATAATCCAAACCAAAAAGGTAAGGGATGGATTAAACTTTTCTTTCTGATACGTTGATCTGATTAGCTTCCAAACTAAATGTTGTCAATCACACCTGAAGACTTTCCTCCCTCCCATTACAGCTTGGAGTTAAACCACACCGCTGTTAAGCTCTTTGAGACTCACTCACTAAACTCACTCTTTGTTTTCTTATTGACATGAAATAATTACCCTCCAGTTACTGACTTGCCAACCAGTTGAAATAGTTTTGCTAAGGGAGATGGTGGAAGCAGAAAGTCTTCATTCTTTCAAAAGAAAGTTAGATATTTCTTTTAGGAAATAATATCGTGAGGCATGACATGTCTATGCGACTGTCAGAATGGCGGAAGGTGAACTGGATCAACCTTGGTCTTCTTTCGTCTAGCAAATTCTTATGTTCTTATGTGGTGTATTTATCTTCAGAAGATCAGGTAAGTATAGCGTGTACAATGACCAAAGATATGTATGACACATATGTATATTTTTTCCTAGATAATCAATGTTACAATATTTTGCACCTTACTGTTAGGATTTGTTTTTTGATATTGGCTTTTGATATACAATACAACCCGACAGATAGTTTATTCTTTCATTGCAGTATCCAAAATCAGCTCCAGGATATTCCCAAATGTACTACCCCACACCACCAAAGGCTATAGCTCCGAACAATTTGTTGCGGCCAATGGAAGTTACCGTGACTGAGAGAACAGCTAATATACTGAAAAACATAGAAAAAGCACAATGGCTATCCACATACATGCGGGATTATACAGGTAGGTTAACATCATTGACAGTTGCTGCCACATAAATCATTACTGTTCTTAAAAAAGGTCCTTACATTTTAATTACAAATAGCATAATGTTTTATATACTACAACAAGCGATATTCTTTAGATTTAAGCATGAACTGTTCCATCATCAAATCTTACATTTGTATCTTTATAAATAGGCAATGGATCAATGAATCCTATTGAATTGGATGATTACCATGAAAAAGTAATTGCAGAATTGGCAGGAAGAAGCAACTATTTCGAATCAGAACTAGTGAGTAAATTGTAAATTCAAGCATTTGTCATTCAAGTGGCACTGTAAACTTTTACACACTATTGTGTGTGCATAAACATAGATATACCTGATCTCTGTAAACAAATTGCTATGTCCACTGTCCAGGTGCCAGCATGCTAAGAACCAGCATGCATTTCTTGGACTTTAGTTAGTGAGAATATATTACATCAAAATCAAAAATCATCATTACTCACGGTCACGCTTGCTCCATTAGGAAATGACTAAATTGTATCATGTTGATCCTAAACAACAAATCTTTGATCTGGAATCCTCTCCCTTCAATGTAAACCCTCCCCAGACCCTTTTATCTATGCAAGTCCTTTTTCTAATTCCCATGTTTTTCGCTAATAC